TTTTTTTTGAAGACTGAGGCGGCAATAGAATACTTTAACATTCTGTATTATCTGTTATTTGCTTTCTGCCTCTGCTAAGCAATGGCTGTATACTTACTTTGTTTTTCTTTTACTTTTAACTTATAGAGTCTTTACTTTATAGACTTTTACATCCCTTGGTATTTGTACCTCATTTTACATTCTCTAGCCTTTCGGATTTTATCCCAACATGCTTGTACTTCTTCTTTATATTCATCCTTAGTCATCTTCTTATTTAGACTTTTTGGACGAAGCATTTTTTATTATTTTTTTTTCGTTAATGACCTAATGCTTCAGCCAAAATGGACTCTTGCTGTTTCATATCTTCTCTGCATCAGAATAACTTGTCATTGTGCCTTTTTAATACATTTTCTTTCTACTGCTGTCTACTGTCTTCCTTTATCCACTTATATGGTCTTCCCAACCAGTTCTCTGCCTTTTGGTCACAATACTATGCAGCAGTTCCTAAGCAAAATGGAAAGGGACTTCAGGGAGTGGAACACCATCTTCTTCCTCCCACAATGCCTCTGTGGCCCCAGGTAGCTTTCTTTATCCTGGATGTCTCTACATGCAATCTATGGATAAATTCTTTGGCCTCTGGCATACGTTAAAACAGTGGTGCAATGGGCATGGCAGGACACAAGTTTGAAAGAGGACAAAAAAGTCCTCTGAACCAAATCACACGACTGAAGACCTGCCCCGAGCCCTATCCCATAGATCGGTCAGAGAGAAGTTCTCTCCTGGATCAACGACTGCCCCAGCCTCATCTTGGAGATAAGGCTGGGGATAGCCCTGGGACCTGGGGCAGTCAAGTGTCAGTGTTGCTTGTTGGCATTGGCCCCAAACAGCATCAGTTCCCATTTCCCTGGGGCCAGGTCACATAAACAAGTGATTTTTCAGCACCAGACCCAGAACAGAGCCCCAAGACTATTGGAGACCTAGAGCAGAATTGGGCCAGGGCTTACAAATAGCTAAGTGTCAGCCCTGGTCCTGGACAGTCCTGCATCCAGTCCAGTTCAATGGTTTCCCCTGCTGTAGACTTCAAACCTCAGGGTTGCTGGGCATGGGGGGATCAGAAGCTCCCCCATGGGGCTGCCTCATGCAGGGGTTTAAACTCCTCTACAAGACTGTCAGTACCTCAGCCTGGCAACCTGGGTCCTACCCAGTGCTGGTTTCAACAATAAGCTCATTGTTGGGCATTTGATTCATCAGCTCTGGTGTGTGAACATGCCACATGTTAATTTAAGACCCATACAAACCAGCCATAAAAATGTTCCACATATTTTATGGCACCTTAATTTGGGTGCTCATATACCCCCTTGCTGTTGACAATGCATTTAGCAAATTAATTGCAACATAATTGTAATATGTGCCAGGGGCTTGTGTTCCAGGATGCTTTGCAACCAAGCCATTTCCTTCTGCGGCTCAGAAGAAGCTAATTTCTTTATTTATATCTTTTATAAGTATAAACAATAAAAATGTCTCCATTTTTCTGAACAGGGACTGGGACATCCCCCCCTCCCCCCCCAACACTGAGATTCTGGACAGACTCAGGATAGGCACAGCCAGGCCTAGGGTCGGAGAGGGACCGAGTTAGGGAACTTCTGGTGGGGCTGGACATGTTCAAATGATCTCCACCCCATGGTGCTGAGGGAATTGGCAGAGGTAATTGCAGGACCCCTGGCACAGCTTTACAAGCACTTGTGCTGCTCTGGTCAGGTGCCAGAGGACTGGAAAAGGGCCAATGTGGTCCCCATTTTCAAAAAGGGGAGGAAGGAGGACCCAGGAAACTATAAGCCTGGTATTCTTACCTCGGTCCTGGGGAAGCTCTTTTGAGAAAATTATCCAAGTGCACAGCTGCAAGGGACCAGCAGGAGAGATTATGCTTGGGGGCAGTCAACAGGGGTTCATTAGAGGCAGGTCCTGTCAAACCAACCTGGTTGCTTTCTATGACCAGGTCACAAAATCCTTGGACACCGGTGTTGCGGTGGATGTAGTCTTTCTAGACTTTAGGAAGGCCTTTGACACTGTCTCTCACCCCATTCTCATAAAAAAATTAGGTGACTGCCGTTGATGCCTACACAGTCAGATGGGTTGCAAATTGGCTGGGGGGCTGCACCCAGACAGTGGTGGTAGATGGGTAATTTTTGAGCTGGAGTGGGCAGTGGGGTACCCTAGGGCTTGGTCCTTGGGCCTGCAGTGTTTAACATCATCAGCAACTTGGACAAGGGGGTGAAAAGCACCTTGTTCAAATTTGCAGGTGACACTAAGATGTGCGGAGAGGTGGGCACGCTAGAAGGGAGGGACAGGCTACAACTAGATTGGACAGATTACAGGGGTGGGCAGATGAGAATAGGATGGGATTCAATACTGACAAGTGCAAGGTACTGCACCTAGGGAGAAAGAACCAGCAGCATACCTATAGGCTGGGGAACTCCCTTCTCGTCAGCATAGAGGCAGAAAAGGGTCTTGGAGTCGCTATTGATTCCAAGATGAACATGGTCTGCCAATGTAAGGATGTGGTCAGTAATGCATCCACAGATGCATCGTGAGCAGGTCCAAGGAGGTGATCCTCCCCCTCTATGCAGCATTAGTCAGGCCGCAGTTGGAGTACTGCATCCAGTTTTGGGTGGCAAACTTCAGGAGGGATGTGGACAGCATTAAGAGGGTCCAAAGGAGGGCCACTCACATGGTCAAGGCAGCAGGGCAGGCCCTATGAGGAGAGGCTATGGAGGTTGAACAGGTTCAGGTCCCCACAAGAGAAGGCTGAGAGGGAACCTGGTGGTTGTCTATAAACTTACCAGGGGGGACCAGTGGGCAATGGGAGAGTCCCTGTTCCCCCCGAGCACTACCAGGAGCAACTAGGAATAACGGCCACAAGTTGACTGAGAGTAGGTTCAGGTTAGACATCAGGAGGCGCTACTTCACTGTCAAGTCGGCTAGGATCTGGAAGCAACTCCCAAGGGAAGTGGTGCTCGCTCCTACCCTGGGGGTCTTCAAAATGAGGCTAGACATTCACCTAGCCAGGGTTGTTTGACCCCAGTACTTTTTCCTGCCATGGCAGGGGATTGGACTTGATGATCTGCTCAGGTCCCTTCTGACCCTACCAACTATGAAACAAACCTACTTTTAAGCAGCTTTAAAGGGAAGGGGGAAGCTACTGCTCAGGAGTGTGCATCAGCTGTTACACGTTGTTACAGTTGCAGGTTTCTGTAGTGATGCAAGTGAGCTAAATGAGCTGAAGGAAGCAGGGTTAAATTTAACAGATTTCATAGACATTAGGGCTGGAAGGGACCTCGTAACATCAAGGGGCAAGAAGTCAGCTAGGATCAAAGGATCCCAGCAAGATAAGCATCCAAATGTTTCTTAAAAGTGTCCAGGGTAGGTGCTTGCACCGCCTCTGGGGAGAGTCTGTTTCAGGCCCTGGGGGCTTGGACAGTAAAGATTTTCCTTATGTCCAGCCTAAAATGGTCTTGCAGAAGTTTGTGACTGCTAGACCTTGTCATCCCTTGGGTGCTCTAGCGAACAGGCATTTCCCCAAATCCTGATGCACACCCCTTATGTGCTTTTAAGCTAGCAATAAGTCACACCTGAACCTGCACTTCTCCAGGCTGAAGAGTGCCCTGGCTTGTAGCCTCTCTTCATAAGGCCTATTCTCTTGCCCTGTGATCATATACATGGCTCTCCTTCAGACTCTTTCAAGCTTCTCCGTGTACTTTCTAAACTGTGGAGCCCAGAATTGGATGCAGTACTCCAGCTGCGGCCTCACCAAGGCTGAGTACAGCGGGAGGATGACATCCTGGGTCTTGCTTGAGATGCATCGGTAGATGCAAGCTGGAGTTTTATTCACTTTATCAGCTGCAGTATCGCATTGGTGGCTCACGTTCCTCTTGTGGTCAATCATGACCCTCAAGTCTCTTTTGGTTGTGGTGCTAGTGAATGTAGCATTGCCGAGCCTATAAGTGTGATTGCGGGGGGGGGGGGGGGGGTTTCTCGCCCGAGGTGGGGCACCTTACATTTCTCCAAATTGAATACAATCAGGTTTTCATCCACCCGCCTTGCAAGCCTGTTGAGGTTGGCCTGCATCACCACCAGCCTATCCTCAAGTGCGGACACTCTGCCCCAAAGTTTGGTGTCGTCATCAAACTTAGCCAATCTGCTTCTGACACCAGCGTCCAGATCGTTTATGAAGACATTAAGGAGTTCAGGTCCAAGAACAGAGCCTCGGGGGGACACCACTACTCAATGGGTTCCATTTTGATTTGGTTCCATCAGCTGCCACTCTCTGGATC